CCTTCCTTCCTTTGGTTGTGGTTGGTTTGTTTTGACAGTATCTTGCTGTGTATCCCAGGCTGGCCTTGAATTTTTCTGTGTATCTCAAAGCTGTTCTTGAACTTGAAATCCTTCCTGTAAACCTCCTATGTGTTGGGGTTTCAAGTGTACACCTCTGCCTAGTTTTACCCACTACTCTTAACTGGAGTTCATGTCTGCAACTAAGTAGTAGCCAGGATTCTCCAAGATGAGAACTTTGGTGATGTTTGAATTTACTGTGGAGCAGTGGTTCTCAACCTTCCTAATGCTGCAACCCTTTAATACAGTTCTTCATGTTGTGGTGATCCCAACCATAGAATCATTTCATTGCTATTTCATAACTGTAATTTTGCTACTGTTATGAGTTGTAATGTAAATATTTTATATGTGGGGTTGTGGAATCACTGCTCTAAAGCAAGAATACTTTTTTTTTTTTTTTGAGACAGGGTTTCTCTATGAAGCTCTGGCTATCCTGTAACTCACTCTGTAGACCAGGCTAGCCTCAAACTCAGAGATCTGTCTACCAAAAATGTGTTAAACATAAGCAGTTGTCCCCAAGTTTCTGGCTGCACTCGTGATTCTTCAGTAGTTAAGTGTGGGCAGCCAAAGCACATATGCTTTGTATTCAGAATGAAGGTGTTGTAGCAGACTTATAGACAAACTGTTTCCTATCAGAGGCATGGAAGAAGAAATCATGTGGTCAGGATTGTGCTCATCATAGGCCTGTGGCTATGAAATACTAGGTTTTTGAGGTTTTGTTTTGCTTTGTTTTGTTTTGTTTTGTTTTTTTGAGACAAGGTTTCTCTTTGTAGCCCTAGCTGTCCTGGGAACTTGCTCTGTAGACCAGGCTGGTATTGAACTCAAAGAGATCCTGCCTTTGCCTCATGAGTGCTGGAATTAAAGGTGTGTGCTACCACCACCCACTTGGGTATCTTAAGAAGGGAGATTTTAAATTTTCTCTTTGTTTCTTTCATTTTGTTTTTTATGTGTGTGTGCCCATCCTGATGGCTGGGATTACAGACAGATGTCATACCCACTTACTATTTATGTGCACACTAGAGATCCAAATTCGGATGCTTATCTTTCTAGAGTAAGCACTTTACCTACGGAGTTCTCTCTCTAGCCCTTTACATTTACTTACGTTTGTATTTATAATTTTGAAATAGGGTTTCAGATAGTCCAGGCTGACTTTGAATTCCTTATTATCTTGCCCCCATGTTCCAAGTACTGGAGTCATAGGTTGCATCACAAGCCACAGAAATAAGGAAAACTAAAATTAAAATCAAGCTTGGGCAGTGGTGGCACATGTTCTTAATCCCAGAACTCTGGCCACAGAGGCAGGGGGATCTGTGAGTTGAAGGCCAGGCAGGTCTACAGAATGAGTATCAGAACAGCCAGGGCTGCACAGAGAAACCCTATCTTGAAAAACAAACAAACAAACAACGATATGTTAAAATCAGCCCATGTGATGCAGGTTCACTCAGTAAATTTATCAGTACATATAAGATAAATGTATAAAATTGTTTGGGAAATAGCATTGATTGTAATTTTAAAGAATACTTATTTTTGTGATCAAAACTTGAGACTTAATTTACTAAACTAGAAACTTTTCTGTTTGGTTAAAAGTATACCCATTGTCTCCTCATGAGAAGTGATTTTAAATCTGAATCCTGCTTTTGTGGTATCATGGTGTGTCCAGGACTTGCTATGATAGAACTGGGTTCTGATGATGCCAGATAACTTTGGTTTCTGTTGCTTATATTCTTGCGCTTGCCTTTTGCCATCTGGTTTACTCTAGTGCAACCTGCACTCACTGTCTCTGACTGGAGCCTGTCTTTCCAGTTATCTTGCTTGTATCAGAACTCCTCAAGTCCAGGACTTTAAGAAGGACATAAGCAACTCCCTTAAAGAAATACAGAGC